GATTTAATTGAAAATAATAAGTTTGACAAGTTGATAAAAGATTCGGATTTAATATATCAACAAAAAACAATTTTACAGAACAATCGAAATAGACGATTAAATTTATTACAAGTAAATCTTTTTGAATATTATAAAAAAGCTATTCAACAAACTATCGCAATATCTATTTTACAAGAATTACATAAAGAGATATCAGAATCAAACATATTAGCTAATAACAAATTGATACTATACGATTTGATAAAAGAAAAAATTGATAATTTTAGACAAGAAGAAGAGTTTGAAAATATAAAAAAAAAGATTGAAAAAGAAAATTCAGCTGCTAATTTAGAAGTAAATATCAAAGAAGAAATAGATTTTAAAACAAAATATATCGATCAAAACAAGAAAAATGAATTACATTTAATACGTAATCAAAAAATTAAATCATTAAAGGGTGCTGTAGATTTTTTACGTATTAACGAAGAAATCGAAAATGAATCTTTATTATCAAATTTGTTAGATAATAATCTTTTTGACGATTTAATTCAAACAAATGGTTTTTTAGTTGAAAATCAAAGACAATTATTACAAACAACAAGAAAGAAACGGTTACAGTTGTTAGTAAACAATTATTACAATACGTTAAAGAAAGAAATAGAAATATCAAAAGATTTAGAACAATTAAATGATGGTGGATATTTTGATGAAAGAATCGGTGAAGTTAGAGAAGAATATTTGGATTCCGATAATTCAAAAGAAAAATTACATATTTTACGAAGATCGAGAATTGATCGATTATTAGGAAGTGAAGAAGATCAAAGATATGATCTTATAAGAGATATTATTAATAACACAGAAAATATCGAAGAAATATCAGATTCATCAGAAATATTTACAGATATTAGAGTGTTAAACCAAACTTTATTAACAGGAAATCGTGATAAATCAGAACTAGAAAAAGAACGAAAAACCCAATACAACAATGGGTTATATGATATTATTAGTTCAGCTATCAAAATAGAAGAAGATATTGATAAATTAGAAAAAGAATGGGAAGAAGCTATTGAAAACAATCTTGATCAAAATTTTTTGACTGGAAAGTTAAAAACAATTCTTCAACAGAATCGATTAGATAGAATTAAAGAGTTAAAAGAAAATGAAAATGATACTAAAACACCTAAAACGCCAAAACGTCCTTTAGAAGATGATGATATACCAGCAAGAAATTTAGATAAAGCAGAACAAAATCGAGATAAATTAGGAACATCTGATAAACAAATTAATTTTATTATTAATCAATATAAAAAAACATTATCTCAAGTTGATTTATTAAAATATTTTCCAACAAGAAAAAATAAACCAATCGCAAATATTATTAAAAAAGTATACGATACAAGTAGAGATAAAAATTCATTGTTAGAAGTACTTTATTTGAATTGGGTTCTTGGTAAAGATGAAAAATATTTGTTGAACAAGAAATTTACAAGAAAGAAAATAAATGAAGTAAATAATTTAGTAAAAGATATTAATAATTATCTTTATGAAGAACAACGTAAAAAAGCGATGATGAATCAAGAACGATTAGAAAAAGATAAAAATTTTAAAAAATTACGTAGATATCCCATGTTTTTTTTACCAACTGAATTTTCTTGGGACAATCCTTTACGTATGGATCAAGAGAAGATTGATATAATTAAAAGTATCAATTTAATTATAATCGAATATAAAAAATCATTAGCCAACATTTTAGAAATTACAGTAGAAAATATCAATACAATACAAGATTCTTTAAATCAATTGGGTTTATTATATGAAACTGA